GAAAGAAAATCGCCAGGAATTCTATCTATCTATGTATGTATGTTCATTTTGGACATCAATGATGATGATGATCTAGGATTTTTGTTTCGTTAATATCAAATACAAAAGGCAATTATATTTGTTTTCGATAGCAAAAGATGACCTTAATCTTAGTTAGTGGTCCTTTTTTGCTGGATGACATCTTTGTATTTGGAAATAGTGTGAATTGTACGAGAATCATATGAATATATAAATCAGAATCAAGAAGAAAAAGAAAATTATTTATTTAAAACATGTTTTTCTATTTTATAGTAACAGTAGTAAAAACTGGTGACATATTCTTCCTGCTGAGAGTTTATAAAGAATTTTTTTTCAAATAAATTAGTTTCGATTTCTGAAGATTGAAACTAACACTAACACCACACAGAGTTAAATAATAAATTTTTATTGAAAATGGAAACAAAAATCCAATTGAAAAATGCAAATATATCCCATATATCGAATAATCAATTTTAATTGACAAAAACAAAAACCAAATTTTCTGTTACAGAATTGAAGAAAAAAACTTGATTTTTCAACAAAAATGAAAAACAGAATAAAATTTTTACGATTATAACACTTTTTTGGTTATAAAGTGACACATACCAGAGAGAAAAAAAGATAAACAAAGAGAAAACCAAGAGACCTGGTGTGTCTGATGAAAGAATTTTTCGATCATCAAATGAACAAACAAATGACGATGATCCACTGAAAACAAAAGGAAGCCATAAAAATTCCAGATAGAAAATCGAATGGATCATCGATTTTTTTCTGAATTTTTTCATTGAACATAATGTTTGTTTGTTTGTTTGTTTGCATGAGTTATGGGTGTATGTTTTTGTTCATTTATGGCCCATCGATGTGATCTAGACCAAACCAGATGAGAAAAAAGTCTTTTTTGTTTTGTTTGGTAACATGGCTGAATCGGATTGTAATGAGAGGATTTTTGTTTTTGGAATATTGAATCATTTTGATGATAAAACAACCAAAAAACATTATCTTTATGGATTTTTTTTTTGTTTTGTTTATTCATACTAAACACAAAAAAAAACAACCAAGAATCATTTTTTTAGCTTAATGTTTGTTTTTTGGTTAAGCTTAACTATAGAAAAAAAATTAACAATTCAAATTGAATGGAGAGAAACAAAAAACTAAACAATGACAACACTTGATCATCATTATCATTACAACAACGAATGGGCGCTATAAAAACAATAACAACAACATCACTGGAAAAAACCTTTTTGGTCCTATAAAACAATCAATGTTTGCAAAAAAAGATATTTTCAAGTGGATCATTTTATTCGTTTAAATTTTATTTTATTTCTTGTCAACACTGCACATCCCATTCATTTCATTCATTATGTTCTCAATCAGTCAGCACTGTCAATGAATTTTTTTTCTTCAAAATTTTTTTCATCACATGCAAATAAAGCAAAAAAAAAAGAAATTGGAAAATAATTTTTGTGTCGAAATAAAACCAAGAGAAAAAATTTACATTATTTAATGAAAAGAAAGAGATCAGCCTATATATACAGAGTGTGAATGTAAAGTTTTTCATTCAAAAACTGAAATAAAATTAAACGATACATTGATTGATGAGTTTTTGGTTGTTTCAAAGTTTACCAGTTTTTGCAACCAGAATAAATATGATCCAAAAATAAATTTTTTGAATACAGGAATAATCAACATGCAGAGAGAGCAATAGAGACATGACTAGAAATTTAAAAATTCTGTGTTTCACACCGCGAGAAATAGAGTTTTAGATAGTAAATACATCTTCATTAATGTCATGTGAAAGCCAAATCCTATGTGTGTGTGTGTGTTGTATGCATCATTTTGATTAGCAAAATTGTTAAATTAATTCTAAACCAAAAGAAAAAATGGAAAATTGCGTTGATGCGTAAATTTTTCTATTTTTTTTACTTGGAAAACAAGTGATGAAATTTTTTTCAATAATAAAAATATGAAAAACACGTAACGGTAAACACGTGACAGTAGACCACAAAATGTTTTATTTTTCTAATGAATTTTTTTTTGATTGTTTTTTTTTGTAATTTTAAATGATTCCGAAAAAAATATTTGAAATCAATCATATTTGATTTAAATGATTTTTGTTTCAAGGAAATAATTTGATTGTGATGACTAATTGTGAAAACTGACCAACATTTTACATTGTGTATTTGTGTGGCCAAATGATCCACGATTGTTTTTCTGGGTTAAATTGGAAACATCATACGGTCTTTTGAATCAAATTGTGTACCGAGAACACACACGTACCCAAAAGGCTATTTGGTTTTGTTATAATAAAAAAAAAATTGCACGTGTCAACAGAGCAACGTTGATAGAGCACGTGTTTCGATCCAGAAATTTTTATTATTATTATTATTATTTAAACGTTCATCACTATGAAGCAAGTAAGTAATTTATGAACAAAATACACACACACAGCGAACAGGATTTTGATCCAAAGTGAGTGAATATAGTGGTGAGTGATTATCTGACCTTTTTTTCGGGCTGCTTTGCTCTTAGAGGGGAAGTATCCTGGTAATCTTTTTGTTTGGGATGATCAAATAGAAAAAAACGATCCAAAACTGGAAAAAACGGAAAAAAGATTGTCACTATTGACACAAACACACACTCGTTAACTAACAGTGTTCATATTGTCGGCATGGTTTTTTTTGGGGGTAATTTGTCTTTGATTATTATTCTGGTTGGTTGGTATATACAGATCAAACAAACAAAAAAAACTGATAGATTAGATTAGATAGATAAAACTCGAAAAAAACATAATAATTTTCATTGATCAAATAAGTTTAGTTGCATTTTGTTTTCATATCAGATTAATATTGTCGATCAAAAATGACCAGGCAAAAATTGAATAAAATGAATGACTTTATTAGCAAAAGTTATCAACAACAACAAAAAAATAACATTTAACCCAAAAAAAAGTTGTAATCGATTGGCTGAATGACTGGATGAATGAAAAACTACGCAAGTTTTATTCGTGTATTTTGGATTATGTAAACAAGCCATAAGTCATGTCATATTCACATTGGCAAACAACAAACAGTACAAACATAATCCACATGAAAAACTTATTTTGGCTATATTTTGGTTATTGATCCGGGTTATTTTTCAAATTGAATGAAAAATTGATCGTATAATTCCCCAATGGGTTATTCGAGATTAACATGACTGATCCATTAATGGAACAGGTGTTTGAATATTTTTTTTTTCGCGAAAAAAACGGATTGAATCGACTATGAATAAACGTAAATGACGCCCGAAAAAATTTGTTAAATTAATTGTAAAGAATATTTACAGAGTTTAATGGCGCCTAAAGCTTTACATCCACCATACCACATTACATTTGCGTTATGTAACGTAAAAATTATACGTAAACGTTATTCATATCTACGGGAGAATAACAACAACAACAATAAATTATTCATTTCATTTTTTTTTCTCTAATAAAAAACATTAAAGTTTTTTTTCTGCTTTTGTTTTTTTCGGGTTTAAAATACGCACAATACTCGGGCATCTTTTAAATGGTCATACGGAAAATATGAGAAAAAAACATCAAATGATTTTTTTTTGGAACAAACCAAGAAGAAAAAACGACAATGTTTAGAAACAAAAAAAAATCACAGATTCTTGATTTGTTCGGATCGTTGAATTTGGCCACCTGTGCCCTTGATAAACCGGAATAAAGTCAATTCAACCCAAAACAAAACAATAAAAAACACCCAGAGAAAATCTCTTTCTCTCTATGTGTGTTGATTTCGATATTGGGAAAAAAAGGTTTTATTCTCGGTGAATATTCTTCTATTACACCATTGTGTTTTCAGGATTAATTTTTTTTTGTCTAAATTGAATATATCCTATTGTCTTGTTTTCTCAATGTGTTTCAACCGAAATAAAACATTGAAATCTCTGAATTTTTTTTCCGTTTTTCAAAAAATGTTGAAATTGAGAAACGAAAATGAAAAAAGATTCTGAAATGAACATGTTTCATCCGAGAAAAATATGTATTTTTTGTTTGATAAAGTTTCAAAAAAATGTTTCAGGAAAAAAATCCATGTTTAACTTTTTTCATTCAGCAAGGAAAATGGATACAACCAAACATTTTCAAGCAATGCAACAACGAAAAAAAATCCAAAAGAATCAAAGTTTTTTTTCTTTCTCTCTCTCGCTTTTGCTCAATGATTGTCACATGTGAAAAAAAAAGTGACAAAGAATTTCGTATGGATCTTTCTGCTCTATGTTTTTAGGAAAAATATGTATTTGTGTTGGATGTTGCAGCAGCTTGTCATAACAAGTTCAACTGGAAAAAAACGAAAAAGTATAACACAGGAATACACATTTGAATCAAAAAAGAAAGAAAGAATATTTTTGGCATGAAAATAACATGGATGGATAACAACGATAACAACCGACGACAATAGAACACAGGCAGTGTATGTATTTATGTGATGTGACAGACAGATTTGGAAAAACAGAAAACTTGGCGAAAAAATTCTCAACAGTTTTTTTTGATTCTGTTGTTGTTGTTGCTTCTTTGATTTGAACATTGATTTTTAAAACATGGCATATGTTTGTATGTTTGGAGATTTTTTTTTGTTTTGAAACAAAAAAATTCAGAATAAATGTTGTTGTTGTTCCAGGAAACATATCGTTTTGATTTCAAAACAACATTTCTTTCATGCTTTTTCTTCAAAGATTGCAAAAATACTTGGATATTTCTAATTGATTATTATCGAATGGAAAATCTGATATCCAGGTGTGTTTGTACTAGACAAAATCAAAAATATATGCCATGAGTAAATATTATTTGTTTTTCAAATCAATCAACAAATCAAACATCATCGATCGAAACAAATCTTAATCATTTGATACACACAGTTAGATATTCAATCATTGATCAATCAAACATGATTCAAAGAAATAGTTTCATCTTCGATCTTGTTGGTTGTACTTACTTATTATAATCATTTTTACAATAAATTTTTCTTTCACGTATATAGCACGAATTCGTGAGTATTATACGACAAACAGTACATTGTAAACATGATTCATGCCAATAATGTTCATTAACAAACATTAGATAACGATCACGAATTGGTTGATGACAACCAATACATAAACATTGTTGTTGTTGTTGATGTTTTATCATTGACATTCTACTATTACTATTTGTAGTAATTGCAGTAGTTGCAGAGGTGGCGCTAGTAGTTGTTGTTGTAGTTATCATTGTCGATGTTATCGATGAAGATGATAATGTTGATGGTGATGATGATGTTGATGATGATGATGATGAAACAATCATAATCATTTCCATTGGTGTTTGTACAATTTCCATTGGTGTTGATGGTGACATTTCATTATTTGATTGATGTGGATTATGATTCGAATGATGATGATGATGTCCGTTCGTTATTTGTGGATTATGATGATGAGGATGATGATTAGATCCTGGAGTAATTGCACTGGCTGATAAATCGGCCGTATTATTTATGGATGATGTTGCTGGTGGAGGTGGTGGTGAAGAAAGCATCGTTTATCAAAACGCATTCGATCCACAAAATAAAATCGATTCAATCAATCAATCAAGTGAAAGTGAATTGAGATTGTAAAAATTTTGAAATAACCTCGAAATATGAATAATGTGGATGTGAAAAAAAACTGAAATTTCGTTTTCGTTTGTTTAGTTCTTATTTCAAACAAAAGAAAACGAAAACGCAAAAAAAATTGAATCCTTTTTCTTTTGGCTGAATTTGTTTTTTTGGTGCGAAATTTTTTCGTTGTTGTTTTAGACAAATAATTGATAAAATTCACAAGATAATTGTCTGATGATATTGGTGATCATAATATCATCGTCGTTTTCTGTCTGTTTTCCAATTCCGCACCTAATATGATGATGAGAAAAAGAAGAGGATTTTATTATTGTGATTTGCAATTTAGTAAAAAAAAGAAGAAAATTTTTAAAACTTTGTAATGAAATTGATCATTGGAAAAGAAAGGTGAAAAAATATTATGGAGAAAAAAAATTGGGAGAAAAAGAAAACATTTTTCAAACCAAACCGAAAAAATGATAGGTTTAATCAATCAATCAAACGAACGAAAAGAATTTGAAACAAATTTTCTGTTCTGTTCTGATTTACTTTGCTGAAAAAAATCGACTGACTGACTGGATTGATTGATTGAATGAATGAAATGAATGGTTGACTGGATTGTGGATTTATTTACCAAAAAAACACGAGTTGGCGCCATCACTGAAATTCCATCATCATCAAAGTGAAAAACATGGTGACATTTTTTCGTTTGTTTCATTCGCTTCATTTGATCCGATTTGAAACAACATAGCAAAAAAAAAACACGCAGATTTTTTTTTGCTATTTTGACATTGTCACCAAATTGAAAATTACGTATTTTGTCAGAAAAAGAAAAAAAAGTGAGAAAAAAAAATCCAACCAACTCGATTGGCTTGGATGATGATCAAAAAACAACAACAGAAACCACAAACTAAAAACAATTGCTGGTTGCCAATCAGTCGATAATGATAATGATGATCATCATTATCATCAAAGTTTTTTTGATTTTAAATCAGAAAAAAAAGGTAAAAACAAAGTAATGTCGCCTTACTTTTTACACAAAAAAAAAACAAAGCAAAGAACCACCAATAAAATGACAAAACAAGAAAAAAGAATGGCAGTGTTATCAATGAACAACGAAACAAAAACAATACCATTTAACACTTACCTGGTATGATTATGGGAAAACAAAACATTGGGGGAAAAAATCACCATCATCAAAGGTTTGTCAGATGATAGAGAGAAGGATAGGATTTTTTCGTTCGTTCGTTCGTTAAGTTTGTTCCGAAGAACAACATTAGAAATGATAAGGAGACGGAACGTGTTGTGATGAGATGTGATATTTGAGGGATTTTTTTTCGTTGATTTTTACAATATGAAAGCATACGGGGAATTATTTTGGAACATTATTGGAAACAAATATTGATAATGACGATGATGACATAAGACTATTATCAATAGTGATAAGCATTATGTTATCATCATCAATAAGTTTTTTGTTGATGATGATAACATTTTAATTATTACCTGATGATATTCTGATGTAATTCTATTGGAATGAGTATCATCAACAACAGCAGTATTTTAGAGAAAATCAGATTAACCAATAATTTTTGTTTTTGGGTTCAATTCCTTTCACATCGATACAGGAAGAAAGCAGCAAGGAATTTTTCAATCAATCAAACAAATATCGATAAGTGATCGATTGGTCATAATCATCATCAAAACAGCATGATATCATTCGATTCAATTCAAATCACAAAAATAATGATTTGGTGAAATGATGACAGCCATAAAGTTTGGAGAGAAAAAATCATTTAAGATGGCTGAAAAAATTGTGGCGAAATACAAAACAAAAATACAAAAGATGAAAAGATGATGAAATAAAATCAAATAAATAAACAAACCTGATTATGATGATCACCTGATCATCGATTTAATTTCTTTTCTGACCACATCATTATCATCGGAAAAAATGATGATAATAAACAAATATCGAACGTTATTGTTTCCCATTCAAACGCGGGAAATGTCTTTTTGTTGTTTTGCTCGAAAAACAACTATTTACACCTTGTGTGTTGGTTTGGGTATAAATTTCCTTTGTTTTTGTTTGTTTTCCGAGTGATTTGTTTTGGCGGCATTTTTTTTGTTGTTATTGTTGTTATCAGATGATGATGTCATAACGTTTATCTTTCATCAATTATCAATATCGATTGATTGATTTGAAGGTCAATCCAAAAAGATTAACAATGTTTTCTTGAAAATTTCCAAATCAAATAAAATGGTGATATGATGATGATGATGATACTTTGAAAATATCATATTTTTCGGAAAATGACAATACGCAATCGTAATACGTAATAATCGATTGATCTTTGATTGATCATCCACCACCAACAACAACATCAACAATGATGGTTATTGTCCATCAATCCCTTTCATCAATAACTAATGACCATTCAAAATGAAAGTTACTCAAGCCAAAAAAAATTTCAAGATCATCTTAGATACTGATGAAATGCAGACATACAAGTTGAACTTTGAATAGAAAGAGTTACATCATTGTTCATTCTATCTATCGATAATCAATCAATCAATCATTGGATCGATTTTCTATTTGATTTTGTCCAGAAAAAAATGAAAAATGAAAACAAACAAATTTTGAATTAATTATCTTCATCTTTTTTGATGAATTTTTGCCTCTCGAAGAAGCTTTATTGCAAAAACCTTGTTTTGTTCAATGAAAATGAAAAAATTAACACTTTGACAATAATGAAAAAAAATTTGATTTTTACCTTGAAATACTATTTTGGATGATCTTTGATCGACGATTCAAATATTAATGAAACAAAGTTATAATTTTCAATGAAGAAATACACGAATCTGATTTTTTTTCAATCTATTATTAACCCGGTGTTATCATTATTATACCTGGCCATTAATTATATATGGATGTTTCACATAGGAAACTTTCACAGGTATTGAAGAAAAGCACGATTACAGGAAGAAGTGAAAAAAGATGTTTTTCTTTCTTCGTAATTGAATTGTATGCCCAAACAGTGTTTGTGTGTTCAAATGAAATACCTGCTAATTAGTTTGATATAATAATAATCATCTCCAAAAAGAAAACATCGATAATGTTGAATTGAATGATAATCATCATCATGATGTGATAAAGAAAATCTTTTTTGCCACCTTTTTTTTCGTCCATTTCTTCGACAATTCATCCAAACACACAAAAGATTGAATGTTCAATCTTTTCGGAAGATAATAAATGTCCACATAAAAAACATCCTCTATTTTTTCTTTTAATGATAATAATTATTGATCATCGAAATCGATCGATCGAAGGCTATCATCATCATTGAACAATCTCAGTATAAAATTAAGGTAGAAATAGTCTATTATGATGTTCTAATTTACTGAATTTTTGATAACTTAATTTTTTTTTGTGAATCTAAATAATCGATTATTATGTGAAAATAATTTTGTGTGTTGTTCTCCCAGAAATGAATTGTAAATTCTTCCCAAAAAACATTTTCAAACGCTAAGCATCTTTTCTGCCAAAAGTGTGTCCATTGTGAATTTTAAGTTGACGTGTGTTTACTCTTATAATCTTCTTCATTTTGTGTTTTCGGTTTTTCTTTTTTTTGGAGGGAAATTCATCACGTGCTGTCACCACTTTTCTTTATCGGGTAAATATTATTATCAACAAGATTTTCATAAATATTTTGTTCCAATTACATAATAATCATTATTGAAAACCATCATTTTTTTAATATTATTATTGTGTCGAGTATCACTTGAATTGAACTGCTTAAACTGATTTGATTTTGATTTCTTTTTTTTTCTGATTTTCTGGTTTGTTTCTATTGAATACAATATCCTGTCGATCATTCTATGTTTGTGTGTGGTAATAATTATGGAGCATAATTATTGCTGATGATGATGATGATGAAGTAGGCAAATCTCAAGCACTTTTTTCTATTTTGACAATTTTGTCACTTTGTGAGATTTATTTTTTTCGATTCTGATTTGGTCTTAGATATCTTAACCTTAATTGTTTAGCCGTTCCAAAAAAATTACTACGAAAAGAAATTTAGTTGTCAAATTTTTGTCAAAGGTTATTGATAACCACTACATTTTGTAATAGTTAAAGATTACCACAAAAAAAACATCATTATGATTTACCTAATTCATTTTATTCTGGAAATATTTTCTGTAAATCTCTTGTCTCATGTCTTGTTATCAACAACACGTATAGATTATATTTGTTTGATTTGGTTTTCTATTCACACTTTTCGTACATATTATTGACATACAACCAGTGTATATCAACTATGACCTTTTTTTCTCAAGTGGTTGTTCTTTAAGTGATGGTGATGATTTCGCACGTTATCCATTTGTTTGGATATTTGTTGTTTGAAAAAAAGGCAAACACACATCACCCTTACAACAACGAAAAACAAGATAAGATTTCAAAAACAAAAAAAAAATTGTAACATCTCTTATCTGTTGTGTGTATGTAAACAACAACAATTCTTCCGATTGATCAAGTATGCTACTTGCTTTTTTTTGAAGATTATATTGATTTTGAATTCCATTTCTGGTGATGTTATTTCAAAATGTTTGCTGTTTGTTTGTTTGTTTCAATAATCATCATCATGTTTGTATCCACATTTTGAAACAACAACAACAACAACAGCAAATCAATCAAATGGAAATTGATTTGTTTTGGATTTGTTGTTGAAAAGATGTTTTTTTTCAATGTTTTTCTTTTCTTTTCTTGTTGTTGTTGTTGACCATCATCAATCAATCATTTGAAGATTCTTTTTTTTCTTTTTTGATTATTTGTTTTGTTTTGATTCAAAACAAAACAATTGAAATTGATTTTTGATCAAAAAAATAAGAAAAATTCATTGATGATGATTATGGCTTTTTGTAAAAAATGAATGGTTTGGTGATGTATGGATGATGTGAAAATGAAATGAAATTCAATGGATGTCTATACATGAAAAAAATTGGTTGTTTGTAATGAATGGTTGTCAATATTCTACCAATTTTTTCTTATA